TATATATACACAGTAATTAACTCATAGCACATTTTACCAAATCGTAGCAATTCATGCTGCCTGTTGTCTTTATAGAGAAATGTGTGATAGTTTACTGTGAGTTTTATAAGCTGGAATGCTGTCAGGGTTCCAGATGAGAGTTTATTGTTTCTTCCAGAGGTGTTGTGGGCTTGTGGATGGATGACGGGACAGGAGAAGGGAGGAAGGGAGGGTTGTTGGCACTCAGGCCCACTAATTAAACATGTGACCTGTTGACATTCATTGTGACACAGTAATATGAGCGCTTATCTATGAAGGTGCTGCAAACTAACTACAATTTAGGTTGAAAACTGTAGGTTTGTTTACTGAAAACAATGAAGCTGCTATTTAACTATGTATTAATTCAAATACTGAAAACGACCCGACTGTATTTTTCCACAAACACAAATGTGTCAGTTCAGAATTCAACAAAAATAATCCAGAAACAGCTTAGTTCAACTAAAAATTAAACTACAGTCATTTGTTTATCTTTCATGTCTTTCGAAACACCTATGACTGTCTTTCTCCCGTGGAACACTAAAGGAGTGGTTTAGTGAGTAAATGATGACAGGGATTTCATTTTAAATAGTATAATCCGGCATATGAACTACCAAGCATATAGCAAAAGACTAAACAAACAACGTAACCTCTGCGGAAGTGTATGCAATATTAATTTCTGTACAGACAGGATTTGAGCTGGATCAGGTGTGCTTTGTCAAACACAAACAGGTTGCATTAATGGCAGACATGATTTATTTCCCCAAGGCTTTTCAGAGTTGCCAAAAACAGCCTTTTCTCACACTCAGCAAGTTGCTTTCTCTATTAACAGCTTTCATTCATCAGAACCGTTGTGTGGTTTGTTGAGACACATACCGGACACGTCAATTACAAAGCTGTGTGTACAATATTTTGTATACACTTGTCACAGTATTTTGAAACCATTACAGTGCTTATATAGATTGTATAGTACACACAGTATGTAAATCTGACACTTACCGCAAAATCAGATGAAAATCATTCTACCAACCATTTTATACTGTAATTTTTTTTGTTCAAAATTGTAAATAAAACGAACATTATTGGAGCACATTTTACAATACAATACTATATCAGTCTTTCTAATTCAAAATTTCAGTGAGTATTTGATGTACTATTAGCAGTTTCTTTGTAATTATTTGTGAAACTGAATTGCTTAAGGAAGCTTGTTTCTAATACATGATACAAATAAAAGTAAAATAAAATAAATAAAAAATAAAAACTTTTTAGCTTACAATTTACACTTTTTTACCTTGCGTTTCATAGTTTACATTTCAGAAAGTCAGAATTGCGTGCTATAATCTATAAGATATAAAGACATAAATAATACAGAGAAAAAAGTCAAAATTGTGAAACGCTAAATTGAGATATTTATAACTATAAAAATCAGAAAAAAGATTAAGGCAAACTGTAAAATCATAAGTGCGAGTTTATATCTCATAATCACAATTCTTACGATTTGTGAGAACTAAATTTGCAATTGTGAGAAAAAATTGAATTGTAACATAAAACTGAGCTATTACCTTTATTCCGTGGTGGAAACAACAACAAAAAAACTAAATTGAAACAAAAAAACAAAACAAAAAACAGAATTGTGAAATTCTGAGAAAAAAAATCAGAATTGAAAGACGACAATTTTTGACAATTTTCAGAGTTTACATCTCACAATTCTGAAAAGAAAAGTTGAGATATAAACTAGAAAAATCAGAAATCAGAAAAATTATAAAATCAGAATTGCTCATTATATAAATCAGAAGTTTATATCTCGCAATTGCACTTTTATTTCTCACAATTGTGAAAAAAATTGTGTTTTCCAGTGTAGAATTGGCAGTGCATTTTTAGTTTTGTCATTTAGATTTTGCGATGTAAAAATTTCACGCCATTGTTTTTAACTTGCCCAAAACGTCTCTTTCTCATTGTGGTCTAGGCTATGACCCCCTGATCCATGGACTTTACGCGAGCTGCTCTTCTATTTACGATACTCTGATAAGAGCTGCTGGAATGCAGGGGGTTTAGCCGTTTGACTGAAAGCGGGAATAAACTACCATCCCTGCGGCAGTGTGCTTTTCCAAAGGTTTTAGGCAGCAGAGTAGAATAAACACTGAGGGCACTGTGTTATGTTTAGTTAAGCATTACAAAAGTCTTTAGAGAAGTATATAAGGGGGTTGGGGTAAGATGTGCCACTGAAGATATTCTCTATAGGCAATGAGAAACAAGGTAAAATTAGGGTTAGTGCTG